AACAATGTTAGAATGCAAATAGAGACAAATGGGCAGGGCAATGGTGGAGAGTTGTGTTACGTATTAATAAGATATTTGAGTTAAACTATAAATGCTATAGAAATTAATTTTTGGAGACGATGTTGTAAGTATACCCTATTGATAGAATACTAATGGGAAGATATTAGACAGACATATTACGCAAATAGAAAGACAAATGATCCAAAATGTAGAAGTCAAACAACTCTAATGGTTTGGCTACCAAATGGAAATGCGCGCTGACGGAATACCAGAAAGTGTTTGAGTGGATCCTTTCGAAAGAAGAAAACGAAGGTCGAGGGAATCTTGGAAGGTCATCGCCATCGATAGGGCAAGAGATAATAGAAGATGATAAGTGGCGGAATAAAAAGCATTGGTGTGTAGAGTGCAAGAAAGGGTCTTTAGAATTTAAAAGAATTAAAATAATAATTTTAATTAATTTAATAATAACCAGTAATAGCACTGTTGTAATGCGTAGCTTAGCAGTGTAGCGACATTTTGCTGAATTTGAAACTGCGCTAGGTAGACGATGAATATTGACAGCTTAGGACTCCCCGATTTTATTTACATTATTCGTGTGAATATTCTACTCACGTTGAAGGCACGTCATGGATGATGCTCCAGGTTGTTAAAAGAACTGCTCCAACCATTTACTTATGTTTTTCTTGCTTCAACATATAACTCGCAGATCTCATGTGCGAGAGGTTTCTTTCAAAGTAAGAAACTGTAATAACATGTACTGTGATTCAAGAAATCTTTCTGCCTTCCATCCGTGAGCTTCCACGTTGATGATAGCATGTAAAATCAGAAATACATTTGGACTCCAAACAAGTGTAAGAGTTTCGCGTAGGTTTTCCATCTTTCGATTGTGACGCAGAAGACAAAGGCAAACTATCTCGGAAAGAAATAATTGACTTCGTGGCTCAGAAGAGGAAATTTCAGGTCCACCATTCGCAATCAGAAAAGTCTAGAATGAATCTGGCACTATGAAAATTAATATTTTCTTCCTTTTTGTGAAGTCTCGAAGGCCATTCGAATCTCTTAGAGATAGCCAGTCAGGTTTCAGAGCAGGCTGGGAAGCAACTACGAAGTATAGTTGCCTTGTTACTCCTTCGGCCATTTCTGTTTTATGTAGAAGATTGTAGCCCATAAAATCCCAGACATCAAAATAAACTCTGAAGCACTAGTTAATTTTTAAAACGAAGTATTTTTAGCTTCAGTTGGTGCAATTTATTGGTACTTACGAAGTAGGACAGTTTCACACTTACCAGAAAGATTATCAAACTAGTATTAGGCCGATGTGTCAAAGTGATCCTTCATTAAATTCTATTACGAGAAACTTTTATGAATGTAAATATGTATATAAAAGGTGATTATTTCTTCTAATTTTCCATTTGATGTAGTAATAGAACCTTAATAGTGAACCCAATATTTCGAGTAATGGGATTCTAGTCCCAAAAATCGTATATGCAATTATTAAGGATATCGCATAATTATTAAAAGCCCGTTGTATGTTTCTTTTCCAAACCTCTGAGAGAACACTGAACTTTTAGTTAGTCAGTCCGAAAGAAAAAAAGGGGGTAATCTGTTGGAGATTTCGTAAAAAGTATTCCTACCCTCTCTCTTACTCATTGAAACAATATTTAAGTGTGAAGTCTTTACGTTTACGCAAATAATTCAAACGCTAAGTTATTTGACGAGTGTGAATGAAACGTTTCGGAAAACGCGCAAAATTTCGTACTTTTGATTAATTCCAATAGCGCAATTGATTCAGAGTAATTGAAGGTCGAACTTTTGCAGGAGTACGCTACAGTGCATCTGTTTACAGCTGCCCATAGTGGTTGTAACACACAGTGCAGGATAGGGAGAGGCAAGGCGGGCCAGTGAGATAGGATTATTATAATATCAAAAACCATTGACTTTCATATCCGGCAATATGTTCCCAATAATTTGGCGTAGAAGGTTTATGAGGCAATTTTCTGTCCGTATATCAATTTTCAGTACTTTCAACACTCGAAATTAAAATGCGTCGTGTATGATAAACATACTGATCATTGTTAAGATGCTATTGTTACATTTTTAAACACTTTTTTGAGCTCTAAGAGTTTATTAAAACTCACGTTTAAGCACGTTGATATAAATTCTGAAAAGATAAATTTGATTTGATGTCCAACATGTCCATCGAGTCCTTTGGCTTCGTAAAACTAGCTGTAATCAGTGCAATTAAAGTAAATGAAGTAAGTGATGGCATTTTCTATTTTTGTTGAATAATTATTTATTCATCGGAGAAGTATAAAAGTTAAGTCCTCGGCTCTTAAGTGATTAGGACTTTATCTCCTTAGAAGTTAAAATTGCTTAAACCCTATTGTATACAGTTTATGTCGTAATTTTAGTTAAGCGATTTAAATGAGAGTAATGAATGGCACTTGGCACTTACGTAGTTTTGCTGCCGCTGTAGTATTGAAATTTAATAGTCGAGTTGTCAGTGTTGTTGTTTCTTAATGTTGAAGCACATTGTATTACTTCAATGCAGTAGGAAGTTATAGTTGCTTTGGAAGCATTCTGTAGATAGAGCCACTTCATAATCATGAAACTAGTGGTACTCAGTGCAATTATTAACTGTATGAAAAAATGTATATAAAAAATTTCGATTTGCATTTAACAACGTTGGAAGTAATAATGACCGGATAAGTTGGTGGCAAGTGACTTCAGAGGATTGGTGTCGTCAAGTAGTTCTAACCAGGCCATGATCGCTGCAGCAATTCGCTGTGGCCCCACCGAGCCTTGCTGCACGGTCGCGCGCATGCGCCGAAGCGGCTTCCAACCAGGCCCTTTTCAGGCCCGCTGTTTGTCCCGGCCATCTCGTCGCGGGGCGGGGCGGACGGAGGGGGTCGGGCAGAGAGGCGGCGCTCCTCCATTCTTTCCCAGCAAGGCCCCGGCCAGTTTCCTTTTTTCGCTTTCTACCTGGGCGAAGGTGCAGTCCACATGATCCGGACCTTTATCTACCTGGGCCGGGGCCCGTCCCGCGCTGCCAGGTGCTGCAGCCTGCCTACCGTGTGAAAGTGTGTGGTGCCTGTTGAACGCCTGCTCGCAGACATTGTGCTTCGGAAGGAAGAGGCAGCGGGTGCTTCCTGCGGCGGGTGGCGGGCCGCGCGGCGCCGCACCGCACCCGAGTTCTCAAGCCGCTCTGCCTTCGGCCCGAGCGTCGAATGATGAACGTTGCCCCACGCTTTATGCGACTCTTGGCCCGCCTCACGCTGCTTGCTCACGTCCGTTCTTTGTATTGATTTTTCCGCCTTCCCAATCCTCTTCTTCCTCCTCTGGGATCAACGTGCCTATGTTTCTTCATGATCAATAAAATGTCGAGATTGAAGTCTTTATATGATTTTCTGTTGGAAGTAAAGAACTCTCTATAAGCCATAGATATTCGTCGTTTGTGTTGGTCACATTTCCAGTACACATTATTTACGATAAGTTGAACCTGTGCAAATATTCCGCACTTTATACTAATAGCGAAAATAGCTTCAAACGGGAACTCGACTTCAAATGGCCAGACCTTTACTGCGCATTGCAGAATTACACGGTGCACCATCTGTGAACATTCTAATACCGCTTAGCGTTTATCACCAAATAGAAACACTTTGGTTTGAGATTAAATCACACATAATATAAATCAGTTTTATTTTACATAATTTCGAGATTCGTATATTTCGTATATCCTGTGCTCCGAAATATGGCAATCCAGAAGTACTGAACTTCCCACATTTTTTAAATCGCAATGAAATAGAGATCATCATTTTGAAATCATTGTTTTGAAAGTGTAATACCTAGCTTGTTTAATATGTGTAAATAGTAAGTACTGGAAACCAACTTGGGACGTTTCTGATAACCTGTAATAATGTAAAAGAACATAGAAAGCAATCTCATTTTGTAGATTACGGCATACTACAATTTTATTTCAAGAGCGTATGACACATTGCGTGATTGTTACGCACGGTAGTGATGTGTGTTACTGTGTAACGTTTAATGCAGGTTGAAGGTGTCCCTCGTGTCATACTCATCCGCCAACTTCTATTTTACGACATAAATCTGTTTGGTGCAGACCTGACGATTTTACCCTATCCAGTAAGCAAACTTGCAGGGTTCTGTGTCGATAATTTCTTCCTATAAATGTTAAAAATATCGAAGGCGAAGATGGGATTTTTTTATCGTATTATGACATAATTGTTCCTTTTTTTATTAAGAAAAGTAATTAGGAAATTTAGGGGGGAAAAACATTAACTTGGGTGGCCAAATTTTCTTCTGGTAAGTGAGTTGGTTATCTCTATTTCCCTGGTGACTTCGATAAAAAATACAGCAAGAACATAATAACTTCTATCTTCTGTGAAACACATTTTTTCTTCTTCATAGTTGGCTATCGTTGTGTCCTTGGGTGGTAGGGGCGAACACTCATGAAAGAACACTAACTGATTGTTGATTTAAAAAAATATGTTATTAATAATTTTAACTGTTTATGTATTAAAAAGTTTTAAGATTTAAATGTTAAGTTTCTTTAATTAAACAAGTTCAAAAATGATTAAATGTGCTTGGAAACATAAAATTTCGTATAAGATTATACATAAAAGTGTGGAAAATAAGAATTGATAATAAAAAGTTGTAGTAAAAGTGTCTTTTCAAGTAGTAAGTAGAGGGAAAAGAAATCGGAGTAGCCTACCCCAGCAACGCCACTGACTGGCCTATTCCCATGTTCCCACCGATTTAATTTGGCACATTGTAAATTTGGGCACCCTTCTGAAAAATTTCTTGTTAGTTTATGTCCTCCCTACGACCTCAAAATAGAAGTCTTGTAAAGTGTATTAAACCAGCCCCAATCTCAGGTTACTGAAATCTTTCCCGTGTTCACTTTCAACAATTGTCATTTGAATATGTAACTGGTCCTGACACTTACGTTGAATACTTTTTTGCTCTGTAGGGTTTAGTGTATGGTTTCTGCGTGTGTAGTAGTGTGTGCCTGGCCGTTTGTGACGCGTGCTGTTTTTCTGTTGCAGGTGGGTGTGGTGCCCCATGAAATGGGTCCCGCGCGGTTGCGCGAACGAAGCCTCGGGCGGCTGGGACGCAGACCGTAAGTGAATTGAAACATCAGGCCTTATTTTACGCGGGAAGACGCGGGCCCTGAGGCCCCCTCTTCCGCCTGACCACGCAAATTTCGCTACGCTCCTTTCACCAACTAGCGGATTATGGAGGTATTTCTTGGGCGACGAAACAGATGATTTGAATGTAGCTCAGAGGCGTCATTTAGGCTTGAGGATATTTTACGTGAAAGTAAATCTACTAACATGGGACAGCCGGCTTTACTTCTCCTCCGAAGGAAGACGTACCAATGATTTTTTCACCCTTAAAAATCCACGGCGTCGATCGGGTTTGAACCCGCGAACTTGGGTATAAGTGCTCCCGCTCCCTTTGGACAAAGGGGTGGAGGCCAAGCAGGTCACCCTTGATAATTACCGCTCTGGTGCGGTATGCTTTCTTAATAGCTTTTAATGTTTCTCGTTACAATCACGAGTAACTTGACTATTCAGCGTTTTTTATATAAAAGTGTTTATTCTATTCCTCAAAAAACAATCTTCCCTTAAAGGCGGGTTCACACATTCGTTATTCGGCGAGTAGCGCGCAACCGCTCGCCGAATCACTAATACCGGGGATGAGTTGCGTGCTATTTGGCGACTGACGAACATTCGGCGCTCGCCCTTCCCACCGCATGTTGGTTTTACAGACACAACAATGGAAACGAACATTTGCCGAACACATCAGCTGTTCGAAATTGGGCAAGCAGAACCCTGCTGCTCGTCGAATGCCGAATGTGTGGAGCCATGCGACGCTTCACATTCAGCACTCGGCGTTCGCCGAATAGCAAGTGGTGGGAACGAGTTGCTTTTCACCAACGCCTAACGTTTGCTTGGCTGACCCGCAGCGGGTCGGTCCTTTGTGGCACATCAAAGAAAGTGGATATTCGCCGAGTACCTGGGCTCCTCGAAACTGTTCGGTACTCGCCGAAAGCCGAATTTGTGGCGCCTCTTTTGTTTGAAATGTAACATTCTGCAAAGTGATACAAACTTTTGTCATTTCACGATAATGATACGGAATATTGTAATAACTGGGTTTCTGCGATTGCGTAACATATATTTTCTGGTTAGTTTGACGGACCTAAAAGCGGGACTTACCTGCCGTTTATTAGAAAGGGAAAATAAAAGTGAGAATATATTACAACACAATTGATTTCCTGTTCTGCGTATATTTCAAGGTGTGCAAGTTAGGCCACCCGGTCAACGGTTGCGGAGAAAGCTGATAGAGAAAAGCTTACTCACAAGTAGTCTAGTAAAAGCAGCAGCACCTCTTGCCCGTGAAAAACACTTTTTATTTAGGATTCTCATAAAGATGGTAAGCCAGTTTCGTTTAATTCCTGGTAACATTTATCTCCATTTATTGGAGAGATGCAATAAGGTAGTAGCTTTTATAGATGCACTTTATTCTTTTCCTCCCGTTAAAAATTCGAAACTAAAACATCCTATAATGCTACGAAACCATTTGTTTTAACAATAACAGATATATTGTGATTTTAGGTATTATTTGCGGTCAGTATTTCACCAGTGAATTCGACTGGTCGCTTCTTGACCAATCTTTAAACTTGTACGCGAAAGTTTGCGTGAATTCTTTGGGAGAGTAGGAGATCCTGAAAGTAATACATTTCTCGGGACACGGTATAGTAAGATGAACAGGGTCATTTAACTTCCTCACTGCTGCGTATGCACACCAACCAACTTCTATTTGCTCGAGTTCCGTTCAGTGTTTGCCTAGTGAGAGAAGACAAACCCCCAACCGCCTTGTGTGCGAATAAGAACAGTTGCAGGAAATGCTTGGTTCGTACTGAGAGGGCTGGGACGTGCCACGGTGAACAGTGTTTAGAAGTGAATTCTTTTTCTTTGACAAGGGGCAGTCAGAAAGTAATGCATTCTATTTTTATACTTTAAATAAAATTAGTTAAGTGGAAAATTTGAACTTAGCACTATTCCTCAAAGCTCCTTCTACAATCCACCGCAGAAATAACTTTCTGCGTCAACATGTGGCAGCACAGCAGTCGTTTGAAAAGTTGTAGACATCGATGTTTGTGAGAGACGGCATTGTGTGATTGAATTCTTCAATACTGAAGGGGAAATGGCCATTCCAAATCAAGAAAGACTGTAAAATGTGTGCGGTGATACAACTGTGGATGCCATCACTGTTATATGATGGGTTCCTCTTTGCAACGAAGCATAACGGCAAACACAGTTGGCTAACGACAAGCGGATACATTTTTACTTAACTAATTTTATTTAAGTAGAAAAAAAGAGCAGGCATTACTTTCTGACTGCCCCTTGTAGATAAATTGAATTACATGATTATTTATTATTGAAGTGTGTTACAGAAATAATTTCCTGTTGCGGTTTTACAATAGAAATATAATAGTATATTTATTTTTCTACTAAGGAATACATGGAATATTTCCTGTTGTAGCGTTTTCTAAGTAATTACTAGAAATACACAACACAATCAATCAAAGGAACATTTCAATATTTACGTATTACTTAATCTGAAAACTTTTTCATGACTTTTTGAACACGAAGCAACGATGGGGGGGATTAATGTAAACATTTTTTTCGATATTTTAAAGCAGACCAGTGTGTTGGTGTTGCTTTTAATAACATATCAAGCTCTATTTTCCTTGTCACTGTATTAATGGTAAGAATATTTATTCTATAATATTTTGTTGGTTTTACTGTAATACTAGTTGATAGTTTTTGTAAACCGGTTGTAATTTGTCAACTATTCTGTACTTATGTTTACGGTGTGTTGCTTTTTTATCCAAACAGGATTCGCCCGATAGAAGGTATCGCGATCAGGGTTCTATCCACGGGACTTCGCACAAAGAACATTCAGTTCAAAACGGTTCACTCAAAAAGGTACGAACAGTAATCTATAAATCGACTATTCATATACACCGATTATTAATTTATTTAAATCATTCTGCATGAAATAAACGTGAACGGTTTTGCATTACACCGTAGTTCCAATAAAAAGTGAGAAACACACTGATCAGTTTTTATTTTGTTATCATGATAATGTGTTTACGTCTTGTTTTTGATATATTTGAATTTATTTGTATAATTTAATTTCTGTGCTCGATATTAAAATCCCAAACAAAAATTTATTTGCCACTTCACTATTAACAAGTAGACATGATGGAGGAGTATGTAAAATAGTGAGAGGTATTCATAAAAGTGATCTAGAGAATCATCAAAATAAAGTATATCTATATTACTGGCTGTAGATTTTTTACTTCGCGATTAACTTTTATTAATTCATTAAAAAATCAATATTTGTATGTAATTTTAATATAATTAATAAAATAGTTTCAAAACAGTTTAATTGCGAAAATATATTTCTAGGGGTTTCATTGAATGTTTATTCGTCTTTACTTGTATGATTAAGTGTTCCATGTCCATTGTTGATGTGCGCGACGTGTTTCAAACCTCGTAACGATTTGCCTTTTGTAATGTAGGCAGTGTTTAGAAGCATATTATATTTTTGGAACAAACCAGAGGCGTGGTTGTGATGCTTGTGGACAACTAATATTGCTGGAATTTCAGCCTTCGCTGTTTGACTTCAGTGAGAGAAGTTTTATTTTCTGGGATAAAAAGCCCTCATAAAGTGTTCCTTCCCTAGACATTAAGATAAGGCGCATTTGAAATGGCATCATGAAGTCAACCACAATGGTAGCGCTCTCACTGAATGGAGGTAGCGAAGCCTAAGGTAGGATAATACGGTACAACCTTTTGTGGAAATGTCTGAAGATTATATCTCCCTTGTTGTTGTTGATTTTTAATTTTAATAGATGTGGTTACAATATACCGTTCGGATGTTGGTAGAAAAAATATCGTATTATAGATTAATGGTGCGTGACGTCTTCTCTGGTAGTTACTTCCACTTCTCATCACGATGTTGGCAACTCCCGTAGAATATTGCATTCTATCCAGCAACTTTGTATTATTTATGCGCGTTTGCAGTGCTGGTGGCGGTGTTTCTCCTTATAATACATTTGTTTTACTAACATTTATTGGTGTTGCCATGTGTAGTGCAATCTTTTTCGTACTCGATCATTCCTAGTTAACGTGAATACGTAAAGTGCTCTGGCAACTTCTAAGATTTTGCAGGGGTAATATTTGAGGTTTATGTACACCGTAAATTTCGGAACCCAAAAACCATTTGCAGCGTAAATGAAATTATTGGATTACAAATGTATCGCGGAGGAAAGTAGGCAAAGAATAGATTCTGCTATGCCGCCGCCAGATAAGCCTAAGTAACGGTCTCGGGACCTGGAGGGTTCAGGGTGGGTCTACCAGCTAGGGGACCCTCTCTACCTCAAGCCCTAAAGAGGACCGGGAGCGAAACGGCGAGAAAAGGAAGTAGGAGCTCTCCCTTCTGGCGACCATCTTCATCGTGATTTTTTCTTCTTTCACACGTGTCTTCTTTTGAAGTAGCAGTTGACACCGTTGAGGATAAGGGCGCTCTACTCGCCCTTCATCGCCTTGGGCCGGGAACCAGTAATTAAATGGAAGCGACCCAGTAATAGGAAAAAGCGGTGCTGAAATAATTGTGTGATGATTGCTATCTAAACGAATATTCAGGTTATTCGTCTCATTGTTTTAAAGAATATGAAAAGTTAGGTTTTGCATGAAGAGTTTCTTTCTTAAAATTAATTGAAAAGTATAAGCGTTTTCAGATAAGGTAGTATTAACTATATTATTATTGAGCGCGCGTTTTTCTCTCAACTATTACAGCTCTTGGAATCTAATTCTGCACTCTTGGGAGACCTCTTTCGATTGTCAGTGTTGGCCATGGAAACTAGGACTTGGTTGGTTGGTATTGTTGGTTCACTTTCCCCTAGATTTTGTTAGGTAACAAAGTCTTAATAATTTGATTACAATAAACATGATTGACATAAAGTGGAATTTCTGAAATATTAGCAGTATTTGCAAAACAAAGCGGTCAATAGACGAAAAATTAGGTGGTCTTTTACGCGAAAGACGTTCTAGGTTAAATTGGCTTTAGGGACAAGTTGTTCGGCGAGGCGGCGTTAATGTCACAGCTACACCCCGATAAGAAATTGAAACATTACAACCCCACGATGAAATCATAGGGCGTAAAATTGAAAGTAAAAGTATATTGGTCTGGAAAACATCGAATTATGTTTAATTAATTTTGCTTAAAATGTGATGGTCTATTTGTGCAGAAATGTAAAAAAATAATTAATTTGTATTATTTTCCCCAATTTATTTTCCCGTATACATACGTATATATGGAAAGTTATATAATGCTGCGGAAAATCGATTTAAGAATATTCAACGGAAATTCCCGTTTTGGGTCCCCTGATTCCAAAAAAGTGTTGTTTTCTTAACGGCTGTCCGGCTGTGAAATCCACCAGCGCCTGAACCATACGCAGGGCGAAGTCTTCTGAATGATCTTGGCTGTCCGGATGTCGCCGGTGGAAATCTGTGTTGTGACGCAGTTTTTGGTTTTTCAAAAATAACACAAGTGTAGTATGTTTTTTAAAGATTTCTCACGCCGTTTATTTGCGTATTTCCAATTTATAAGCACTATTGTATTTGTGAGTTAAAATGCTTTAAATAACTTCTAATGAAGTTTTTAGAAAATTCAAAAAGTTTCTGGGGAAAAGAGCTTTAAATTTCAAATTTACAGTTTCGCTTAAACGCTATTTTCATTAAAATGGCTCCAAATTTCTCAAAGAAAATTGCCATTTAGGATTATGTTCTACTATTCTTTAATATTCTTAAAATAATATTTTCGTTCTTCTATTAGGAAATCGACAAATAAAGAACATTAAAAAAAAAAGAAAAGAAAAGAAAAAAGTTCATTGGACAGCGATAGAGGGCTGCTGGCAAGAGTGTGTGGCTAGTTCGAATAGCTAGCCGAGACCAAAGGTAATATAAAACTAATACAGGAAACTCTGCGCCATTGTGTAGCACTACTAGTTTTGACGTGCAACAGAAACGCTTCGTCCTTTACTTGTATTCGCAATATGAAGTACATACTCGTACACAGGTAACAAAAGTGTTGGACGAACTGTTGAAACGAAAACTTCCGCAAAATAAAATCTCCATCCACGTCCCTCCCACTTCCATGTGCTTCCTGCAGAAACATCCACGACTGAACGGAGGCCGTGGGTAATCCATCTGCCCCGGGCCTTCAGCCGAATCCCACAGCAATTCCCCTGCCCCCAAGGGTGCCTCGTGACAATGGCCGTTTTCTATTTCGTGGATGGGCGACGGCGGGCGGCGCGTGTGTTAGTACGCGAGAAAGTAGCAGTGGGTGGTGGCGT